TATATTTGTTTCAGAGGTACTGTTGGCTTTTAATCCAATATTTTAAAGACAAACGGACAGAAACACAGATAAACAAACAGAGAAAAGGCAAGGTATCGATTCTTTGAAAATAACTAAATTGTTTATTATCAAATCGATATTTTCCTTCGCATTATCAGTATTTAAATGTCGTGCCTATGTTTTCCTTGAAATGAATTTTAAGCATTGGAAATTTTAAAAATATATTTTTCCTTTTCATGATTTTCAAAGCAAAAAATTATCTTTTATTTTTTAAAGCAGTTTCATACTTACTCACAAAAAAGATATTTTAATCCAAAAATTGTAAACAGATATTTTTGTTTATTTTTTAATAAGGTTTTAGATATTCCAAGACATTTTAGACTTACCAGTGAGTTTAGTTATTTGTTAAATGTAAATTCTATATTTGGATTAAGAAAATTAGAAAGACAAAATTAAAGGGAGATAGAGGTCGAAGATTGATATCAGAAAAAGCTTTCTTGTCGATGCGAAAAAGGAAACGTGGTTATATATATATTTTTTTTAAAATACGATTATAAAATCGTTATTAAGGTTTAAATGAAGTTCAAATTCTGATAAATAACGAGATTTAACAGATAAAGGGCGTAACTGTGGTGATAACCGTTTTCATGTTTCCTATATGCATCAGGAAAGAACTTTTTGGAAATTCAATCTAGCCATTGTCAGGACATCCTGTGTAAATTTGTTATCATTATTCTGGATGTCATGATTTTGACAGTTTCTATGAAAAAAAAAAATACAGCTCCATGCGGAAACAAATGTCAATTCTGTTACTGTTATCTGCAACACCGGGAATATAAAAAAAATAATATCGTGTCCTTATTTTATAACAATGGAAAACAGATTTTTAAATAATTTTATTTTGTTCACAATGAACTTCAAATGTTTGCACATTAAATAATACCAGTTATTTTCAATGTTTTTACAGCCCTTTTTTTACAAATAAAGATTAAAATTACATTAATCAAATTTTCTTCATTTGGCTTCAAAAATATTACACTTCATTCTTTTACAATGTTTTACTTTTCATATAATCATTCAACCAGATCATTAGAAATTTACAAACTATCAAATGAATTCAATAGGAAGCTGGTTACGGTCTTTACCGAACAGCTTAGGAAAATTTTCAGGAACGTAACTTTCTGTATTACATATATTTTTTTACCTCGTAGGTTGATGACAAATCGTATTAAATCACCTAAGACTCAGTCTCGTTGACTGGCGCGGATCATCAGATCAAACTCCACGCGTCGAATCTCGTTTGATCTGATGATCCGCGCCTGTCAACTTGACGTGATATGGTTCTTCGGATCAAGTTACTTTATAATAATAAATATAATACTGATCCATATATCACATAGGTAAAAAAGTATAGTACAACTAACATAGATGTTTCGAAAAATGTCTTAAAATGAAATTAAAAATTTAATAGTTTTTGACAGGAAGTTCAGGCAAAAAGGTGATTTTCCGGACCTCTAACTTTTTCTCGATCTTGGACAACAGGATTAGGGTTCTTCATGGGACTTTTAACGTGGCGGCTAACGTTAACAGCCACAGTTAAATTTAGCACTATACGTGAATAATTGACCTTTTGTAAATACAAGTATTTTTAAATAGATATAACCATTTAAAATTGTTATTACTTGTATTATTATTATTATCTAAATACCTATATGTACATGTACGTATGTAGGGGGGTGGGGGTGGTTCACGGTGCACTTATCAGGCTTATTTATTGGAAAAATTGTCTTTCTTTGTTTTCGTTTTTTTTACGCTTTGTATACTTGATATCCATTAATTGTTTTTTAAATTATTATCAAATCCATTTTTCAACTTGCCAAAAAGTAATACCGTTTGCATATTAAAATAAAGCAATTCATAAGATTATTTTGTTTTTCAATTTATTGATTTTTCTCTTCGCGAATTCGTTTACAAAATACCACGAATATTAACACTTTGCGTAATTTTTGTGCCACAGTCAAATTTGAAATGATGGAGAACCCTGATGTTGAACACCGGACGACGGATCAACTGTTGCCCAAGTCCCCTGTCAACAATTGATTTGTTATACCCTTGTAGTAGAAAAAAAAATTAAAAATATGGTAAATTGTTATGTCAGGAAAATGAATAAATTTTTACATAAGAACAAAATCATTAAATGCATTACTTGAAGTTCATAGCAGAGTGTAAATTGAAACAAAGTTAAATAGTTATGAATCAAAAATTTCAATTTAAACAGTATTAAAAGACCAAAACATTTAAAGACATATTAATTTAAGGACATTGGCAAGGCGAGATTTTCCGGAGAAGAAAGGTTTAATACATGGGTTTTTCACTTATAAAATAGTGATTGAGAGTGCTCTCCCGTGTAGAGTTCACGCGGTGAAAACCAAGAAAGCGTAAGTTACAGAGGTAAAAAAAAAAAAAAAAAAAAAAAAGCACATCTGCTTCCTTCAACGATAGAATTGTCTATACGGCAAAAAAGAAAAGTATTGATAGTTTTGTTGTACATTGTGTTCAGGGAACAGAGAGCCGACAGATCGTCATTTACCATAGCTATGCTTTAAAGGGCAAAGATGAAAGGTGAAGCGACTGAGGACAGTTCTTATGTCGTGTGAAGGAAACACCATTTAGTTACTACGAATAAAAATTAAAAACAAATCCATACCAACATTTTTACGAAAGTTTTTTTTCTAATAATGTAAAATACATAATAGAAACAATCAACCAGTCTCTTGACCATTATGAGTAATAAAGATGTTAAGGGAAGTAACTCAGAAATAAAGAACGGTGCCGATATGTCTGTGTCTTGTTTCTATATATATTTTTCAGCGAAAATATCTAGATGTCATAGGAAATGAGGATAATATAATGTATATAATACATAAACAATATGAAATAGATGGTTATGGCAGGAATCCTATGGTTAAAATTTTGTAGGTCCCTTTTATCAACATTTTGCATAGGAAATGCATTGTGAATTGTAAAATCATTGATTTGACGAAATCTAAAAAAAACAAGGTTGGCTTGGTGGGCTAAACTAACCAAAAAATAACTTGTTTAATACCATTAAACCTACTCAAGAGTTCTTGTAAAATTCTATACGATATCAAGGAACCTTGCCAATGTCCTTAATAATATAAGTACATTTTCCATGTTCACAAATAAAAGTTTTAGAAAGTATCTATAACTAGAAGGTACTTAAAATCAAATACTGTAGTATCATTTTAATTTGTCTTAGTCAATATTCGTTGGCAATAAAAATTCAATGGCTCGTTGAGACGTATGTTCGTGGATGACTCTTTTATACGGTTGATTCAGTGAATTATTCAAATTCGTATATCTTACCATACAAACGATTGTATTATTTATTACCCCAGTACATACATGTATATATTTGTCCTTATAGCCAAGGTTGGGGAGCCTTGGAGTCTATAAGTTAATTTTACATGGTGCTATACATTAATGTAGCATGAGTTTTGTTTTGTTTTTTATTTGCATACACTTATCTTTCATACAGCATTCATCTTCTTGCATGTATATGTATACATATCAGTCTGATAATAATTCCAATTAGACTCAATGTTAAAGAAATTATTTTGTAATATCTAAGGTCGTAGGGGCAATAGGCTAAAGAATCAAGTATTTTTTGCAAAAGAAAGCCATCCCCATCTTCTATTAAACTTGTCCAATTCTCAATTTTACATCAAAATGAATTTTTCACATTTATGATAATATAATATATCATATTTAAGTCCAGTAAGGGTAATTCTTTTTTACTCCTTTTTCTATATATATATATATATATATATATATATATATATGTGTGTGTGTGTGTGTGTGTGTGTGTGTGTGTCTTTTAACAATACATATAATTACAAAGTATTATTAAAAAGTTATTCTATTTTTTTAATTCCACCAAGTAAAACGTCAAATTTGTTCAAAGGGATATCTATTTAGTAAATAAATTCTTTTTATCCATGTTAATATGTTATACCATATTTCACTTACATACATGTTCGTAACAAAGAAATACAGATTTTGTATCAAGAGTTTTTTTAGTTAGTAACTTTAAAACGAACTTAACTCTCATTATTATACCTCTACTGATTTTATCCCTATATATAGATGGTTAGATGTGACTTATTCCCTAGAAATCGTCGAAATCGCAGTGAATCGGCTAATCTTCATGCGTTAGTTTTGTGAGCCAATCCCTCCGTCAAAAGCTTATCATGCTAATTGGCGGTTTTCCGTAATCCTCTAGATTTTACTTTTGAACATTGAAGAAAACCCGAAATGTTCTCCATAAGTTTTTAGCCAATGAGGCATGCGATGTGCGTCACGTGATTTTCTAAAGTTTACAGAGGACAAGAGGACTTGAACATGGCGAAGAGGTTTAATACTTTAAATGAGGATGAACTGGATAATCTGTTCGATTCCAGAGATAGTCAAAACACTAAGAAACTAATTAAGGCATCGTTATCTGTGTTAAAAAACTATGCAAGTGAGAAAGACCTTGATTATCGGAAATTGAGCGACAACCTACAGATCAAATGAACTGTTTTCTTTGAAAATTCTATGCAGGGATGAAAAAAGTTGATGGAGAGAGATACGCGAAGAAATCTATTATTAGTCTGTGCTACGGTTTACAGAAACATTTCTTGACGGTGAGAAAAGAAGATATTATTAACGATGAGAGATTCAAAACTGCAAACGAAATGTGTAAAGCTATGATTGTGAATTTAAAAAAGTCTGGCGTTGGTGAACCGAAATCGAAGGAACCCCTCACACAAGAGGACATGAATAAACTATACGAGACTGTTTTTAGCATAGAAAATCCAGAAAATCTGCAGAAAAAAAACAAAGTTTGAATATATCTATTATTTCTACAACCGTGGGCGGGAAAACCTCCGAGAACTTCAAAAGAATGATTTCACAATGTCGGTAGATTCTACGGGGAGGGAATATGTAATAGTTAAGGAAGTCAAACAAAAAATCATTGAGGCGACGATTTGCAGGATATGTCAATTAAACAGGGCAGGATATATGACAAACCTGGTGAGTAAAACAAATTGTAATGTTTTTACAAGGGGGGAGGGGGGTGTTCCATGCAATTTTAATAAAATTCTAAAATTATTGAATCATTTTGTGAACCCACATTTTGAATAAAGGATTACCTGTTTGTTCTGTTTATTTTTGTTTATTTTACAGGTGATCCTCGTTGTCCAGTACTCTCCTTCAAAAAGTATATTGGAAAGCTTCACCCAGAAAACCCAAATTTCTTGCAGCCTCCAAAAAAGAAAAAATGTGAGGAAAAAGAATCGTGGTATGAAAATGTAGCCGTTGGTAAAAACACGCTTTATTCGTTCATGACAAATTTAAGTAAAGAGGCTAACTTAAGTAAAATATATACCAATCATTGCATCCGTGCTACAAGTATAACGACACTGGATCACGAGGGGATGGAGGCACGGAACATAATGAGGCTAAGTGGACATCGTTGCGAATCTTCAATCAAATCCTACAGTTCAAAACTTAGTGAAGCAAAAACAAGGGAAATGTCTGGAATTTTGTGTAAAAACATATCTACAACATCTGAAAATTTTTCAAATTCAGAAAATATAGCTCCTTCAGAAAATATGTGTCCAGATTTCTATGAATCAGACATATCAATGAACTATTGAACAACGATTTTAAGCTTGAAAATGTAGGAAGTGGATCCGGATGCCTTTGGTACTGTGGTGTCATCTGCAAACATGTTGACCACAAACAATTTGTTTAAATTTTCAAACTGTCAAATTACCTTTAATTTTCCAAAATGACATTCATTTACTTGTAATAGTGAGATCCTATCTCTTTTAGAACTTTGATTTATTGTGTTAGTTCAACGACATTTAAACTTGTTGATTTTCTCAAAACATTGTGAAATTGTTATTGAAATTCAATAAATATAAATTGTGATTTTATTCAGTTATGAGAATAAAAATAAGTTAATCTGTTAATGGATATTTTTTTTAAAAGGTTATCTTTACAATTTAAATTTGTATCGGTATAATAAAACAGTTAAAGTATATCACTGAGGGATTTAGCAAGATTCCAGTTCCCCTAGACCAGAACTATTTCCCTCAGCGCAAGCGCCTCAGGAAATAGTCCCGGTCTTGGGGAACTGGAATTTTGCTAACTCCCTCAATGATATACTTTAACTGTATACTAATCATCAGGATTGCTACTATCCTTACAATTGTGTTGTAACAGTTTTCTTTTCAAATGCAATTATAGATCATCGGCTTCTTGTCAGATATGTAATGAAGTTGAAGACATTAGACACTTGTTTTTAGACTGTGAACATGCTCAAATATTATGGAAAAATTTGAGTCCAATGTTACATTTTGATGTACAGTAGAAACATGTAATCATAAGATTTCATTCTGAACAGAATACTAAGATCTAATATTTTAAGTGTTATTGTGTCTTTTCACATGCTTTGAAATAAAAAGATACCACAGAGTCTGACACATCTGTTTCACATTTGGGTTTTTACTAATGAAATATGTGGAGATAACGAACAGTATTCGAGTTCAAAAGTCCATTTAACATTACAAAATAGGAGCAGAGCAAACATGATAGATTGTATTTGCTGACAAGGTCATTGTATCGACCATAGAACGTACGAAATGATGACTTCAAAGGAGGCTGCTGATATTCTGTTTCATCGGCTTGTTTGTATCTTACCTCGTTTTAGAAATTGTTCATTCGTAGAGCATGCTCTGGCGTATTAAATCAACTAAGCAGAGCAAAAGACGTCAATGGTAACCTAACCACAAAGCTTTATGGTATACGTGATGACTTCAACTTTTCTATCGTCAACTTCCCTACTTATGTAGCAGTATACCCTTATCACCTGCATATGTAGTTAATGTCTTTCAGTTGATTCGATACGCAAGAGTATGATCTACATACGAACAATTCCTAAAGCGAGGCAATTTATTGATAAACAAATTGATGAAACAAGAATATCAACAGTCTCATTTGAAGTCATCATTTCCCAAGTTCTAGGGTCGATACAATGATCTTGTCAGCAAATACAATCCATCATTAAATCGAATGCGGACTGACGTTTTTCATATTAATTGTTAGGCCATTATTTACACACTGAATTGTCTGCGGATTTTTTTTCCGATCATGACAATGAGCACATAGAGGGTGTGATTGTTAGAAGGGGAATGCTCACTTCTCCATGGCACCTGATACCACTTCTGATATGTTTAGAGTCTGTATTTGCTCTACCCCTGATTTGTATTGTTTCAATGGACTTTTGAGCTTGATTACTGTTCGTTATCTCCTTATATAATTTATCTAGCATACAAGATATACAAATATGAAATAATATATAGCTTTCTTATGTAAAAAATATAATATAAAAATCAATATAAAATCATTCTTAAAGATATCAAATACTTATATATTTAAAAAAAAATTGTTGCATTTTTTAAAATGTTATAATTAACATTTTTCCATCCTGTTATTCTTGTTATGCTGCACTGTAACAAGAATAACAGGATAATAACCTTGGATAGTATGAAAATGTAAATTGGTTTTCATTCGGATTAATAAAAGATAAAAATGCACCAGCAAAATAAAAAAGAAACGTTAACTGGAAGGCTATATCTTTCTATCTTTTACTCTAAATATATACATACAGAATATTACTAAGATAATCATCTAAAATAGAGAAAATGTAAGCTTAAAACAGATTTAAAAAATAAATTTACTACAAAATTCATAACTCTATATCTACTAATTTGAGAACTAAAGACACGAAAGACATAATGACACAATGGTTAGTTGTTTTCCGTTATCAGTAACCATGTAGTTTTGATTTCTTTTTTCAGTTCCATTAACTTAAGATAGTCATTTATATGAAAGAAGTCTGATGACAACAGCTCCCTGAAGCATGGTCAGCATATTGACTACAGGAGTTCCAGAACCACCTACAAAGTAAACATTACATATAAAGATAGTTAAGGTATACTAGAGTTTTATAATTTTTTAAAAATATCAAACGTATATATTTTGACATTTAAATTGTATTCACCTATTAGCTACTAAATAAAATACGTTTTTAAATCACATAATATTTCTGCGTGAAAATGTATTAGGAATGTGATGTTGGAAGGAAGATTTGTGAATGCTAAAGAAATAAACGGTGTATAATATATGGTCGTGTATTTTGATTTGATTTTTTAAAAAGAAAAATGCATACTATAATCTTAACATTCTGTCGTAAATGGCATTTTTAACTGTCAATCTTCTTATGTTAAAAACGAGGTGTTGAACACAATGTATTTTACATATAACTTAACTAACAACAACTAAGATCAGCCAATTCCTTCTCCACTCATCTTACTGTATAAAACATCGTTTTCAGCCTTTTCCCGCACTTAAAACTAAAGTAGGCAATGCAGTAACATCAACAAATTCATCTCGATATATTTTGTGATGTGTCCTGTGATCTTTATGATGAAATTTCCTGAGAGACTTTGAATACTATTTATACAATAATTCAGATGAAATATTACTTTTCCCTGATTTTGAATCAATTGAATACTAGTATAATCTTAAATAATAAACTTTATTTAAACGGAATATTACTTTTGTCAAGGGTGTTAACTTTTTTATGAATAGTTCTTGGATAAGAGAAACTCCGGACAACTGTTGACAATTGTACTTTATTTATCTTCCATCGACATAATGGTATATGATAAAGTATTTTACATGTACGTTATGTTATCGATGACATGGTGATCTACAATAAATATGAAAACTTACGTACCGTCCATTCACACTTTAAAAATTTAAATGAAATTTATATGAAATATTTAATTCATAAATTAATTTACTGAAAAAATAAGATAGTTTAATTAAAATATCTTACCATATGTAGACAGAATTTAAGCTCCTAGTTATAGGGCTAATTTAGGACAATAACAATCCTGTTAACGTCCGTCTATTTCAGAGGGTTTTCATCAAGTGATTTAAAATAATATTACTGCATGCAAATGTTAATAAAATTCGCGCCAGCCATGCGCAATGACTGGAAAAACCAGTCAAACACACCCATACACATCCCATACTCACCGTATGACATCAGGGGTCATGAACTTACAAACCATGAATGAATGAATGAGATGACCCAAGCGCAAATTATCATACATAGTAACATATACATGTAGTAGATAATAATCCTGTGACACTTTTATTTTTTTTAAAGAAAATATTTAATTAAGATCAAAATAGAGATAACCCTAACTGCATAAAAACTCCAGAATCAGAACTCTCTTGTGTGCAGTGTATAGAGGGTTCTTACCTTGTAAATACCAACCCACCCACCCACCCACCCTTGCCAAAAATTCCTCTTTCAACAGGTGCCATGTACAATAGAGCACATATTTTCCTGTCAGTTGTCTACTGTTAGTGAACTCCAGGAGATTATCAATCCACATTGTGCATAGAGCAGCTGTACGTATAGAACAGTAATTAAGATGTCTACATACATGCAGAAAAAGTATGTGGGATGTATAAAAAATTATGCATACCATGCTTTCATAATTATTTTTTTTAGGAAGCCGACCGAACAGTTACTTTTCCCACAAAATCTTGGGTGTATTAAACGACATTATCCATTTCATTGGATATTTTTCTTATCGACACTATCCGATGTCGCTGTCGCCTGGAATGATACCTCAGGCACCTTATTAAGAGGCTTCAAATAATTTATAGTCTGTTTGCAGGTACCAGGTGTGAATATAAATATGATTCACGAGCTCTTGTCACCATAGAATATCAAATGACATTCCATGATTCTGGATTTTGTAATGAGTCGGTAAAATTGACATCTATAGTGAGGCCTAAAACTGGGAAATTCTAAATGAAGTCTTGATTCGGAATTTTTAACGGAGAATTTAGCAAAAAACATAAATAGAATTCACTATCACAGACAAATTCAAACCCCATGGCTTTAACACACTTATATCTACAATGTATATTTACAAATTTTAATTTTAATCTTGTTTTGATCCCCGCTGATCTTGTGAAGGATATTTTGAATGATTCTTTCCCTTAGATATAATTCCTATGTAAAACTTTCAGAAGGAATTTTGAACACTACCGTCCTAGAAGCCAAATTTTGTAGAGAAAATTATACATGTATACACACTCAATATTGATGATTCCTTATTAAGGCCCTATTCGTCTTAAAATATTATTTTCTTAAATATTCCACTGTTAATACCTGACCTCAAATTACGTCCCTATCATAGCTCTAGTGTCCATGGTTATAATATAGGGGGATACTTGCAAATTCGTTTGCTTTCTCTGCTCTTTTGAGAAAAATTTTAAGAGATTTTTTCCCGCAGCCTATGTGAGGCAAAACTCATCCTTATATAAGTAAAAACTCAGAAAAAAATAAATCTTATCAATCACTGCTTTTGACCGTAGGGGAGATTTAAATTTGGACTAGGTGACATTTGTCATTGTATGGGCATGGGTTTAGTGACGCAGAGTAAGGGTTCTGAACAGATCCATTTCTGAATTTATAAAAAGTCCTACTTGGTCCATGTTTCAAAGATAATACTGCTTCACATATAACAAAGTTTTAACATCTTCCTGTTTACGGATCTTAGGCCTTTCTTTAAACCAGAGTCTGTTGTCATTCTCAGCTTCCAAGTAAATATGAGGAAACGTTTGGTGACACACAGACTGAGGTGGCTTAACTTGGTCTCCTCCACGCCGGGGGGGGGGGGGGAGGAGGTAGCTCTATTGGACGATTGCGAATCGCGGGATTATATCTCTAATCAGTGACTCTGCTTTCCTGCTCCACTGATCAGGGCTTGACTCTGAACTTATCATCTGAGTCATAGATATGCAAATGGCCATAAGAATCTTAACTCACACAGAAGGTTTTGAAAGTTATTGATTATGTATTTGAGACACCAGGCCTTAGATTTTTGGAAACAGTCATTGCCACTTGTTTGCATTGCTGCAAACGTTGACTATGGGTATCTGAACATGTTCAAAAATGCCATTTTGAAAACCTTAGGGTATGTTGCCACAATAAATGTGATGCATAGCAACAAATTTTTGTTTATGGTATTCAGGACATTCATCACACAGGGTTGGAGAAGTTCCGAGAATCTGCGTGCCAGCTCCTATATAAAAGTTCCAGTCATTACAGTGAACGGCTCTTAAAAAGCTGCAGAAATACACTGAAATTTTGAACTTCTCGGTGCCCTATATTGTTATATTTTCATCAACGTCTCTATATCCTCATTGTGACGTGACTAAGGCACTTGTATTACCGTGTATATTCTTATGCGCGAGTATACACAAAATAGCATTCAACTCAAATTCATTGTTTCTAGTTTTAAAAAAGAACACATGAAAAGTAAATGATATATGTGGAGACAACGAACAATATTTGAGCTCAAAAGTCCATTAAACATTACAAAATAGGAGCAAGCCAAACACCGACCTCTGACATCAGAGGTGGGATCAGGTGCCATGCAGGAGTGAGCATCCCCTGCTGACTGGTCACACCCGCCGTGTGCTCTTTGTCATGATCGGGAAAGAACGGGAAAATCCGTCGAACAATTCGTTGTGTAAATAATGGCCTAACAATTAGTATAAAAAAGTCAGTCAGCATTTGACTTAATGAAAGATTGTATTTGCTGACAAGGTCAATGTATCGACCAAGGAACTTACGAAATGATGACTTTAAACGAGACTGCTGATATTCTTATTTCATCAACTTGTTTGTCAATAATTTACCTAGTTTTAGAAATTGTTCATACGTAGAGCATGCTTTGGCGTATCGAATCAACTGAGAGATATAAACTCATTATGCAGGTGATAAGGGTATATTGCTGCATAAGTAAGGGAAGTTGACGATTGAAAAGTTAAAGTCATCACCTTTATTATAAAGTATAGTTGTTAAATTACCATTAACGTCTTTTTCTAATAAATTATCCAAATATGAAACAGATGTGTCAGACTCAGTGGTATCTTTTATCTCAAGCTCACCGGGATATATCTTGTCGACATAAGAATGGAAATAACCATTGTTAATTGACAATACGTCGTCGATATATCTAAATGTCGAGTTGAAGGCCACAGCAAGTGTTTTCTTATTTTCACGTAAAAGATTTTGAATAAATTCTGCTTCATATGAATCCAAAAAAGGTCTGCTAATAACGGGATGCAATTGGTACCAATGTGAATTCCAAAACCACAAAGATATTGTCAATCAGAAACTCGCGCATCTTTTTAATGTCAACTTTAGAGTACTATTGTGTACAATAAGATTGTTTTTAACAAAGTAATTTTTCAAATGACCAATGGCAAGGTAACTAAATTTACGAGTTCCATTTTTATTGATAAAGTAGCTGTCAACGATGTCAGAAAGTCTGGACTTTAATTAATCGTGGGAAATAGTTGTATATAAAGTTGAAAAGTCGTAAGTTTTTATGTTGTTGATTTTGGTAAGATTTTGTGATTTCAAATGTTCCTTGGAATTTTTTAGTATCCACATCTGATTTACATATATTTCATTACACCACTTCTCGAATATATAGTTGCACAATACTCTTGACGTTTCTCCTTCACTATTGTTAATATCTTAGTGAGGAGTAGAGAAAGACGCTTGGTAGAACATTTACTGGAACCCGTATCTTTGTAAGGTTTTTTTATGAAGTTTCGGAATCCAATATAGATATGGTAATTCAAATTCATTTTGGTTGTTGGGAATATTAAAAATGTTGAAAACTGACATATGAATAAAATCTATACTATTGTGCAACTATTTAAGATACTGTAAGATACTGTATATGCATTCATAAATGTTCGCTGTTCAAATAATGATTAACTTAATGACATTATGGAACATAACTTGAGTACAAAGAAAATTGATAAAAATACCACACTACCAAAAGGCATAGGTTGCAGGGTTTCTTTCTTATCCTCTACAGATATTACATATATATTGAAAAGCAGCTGCAAGATAAATTAAGTGAAGATCGCAATTTAATACATCATCCAAGAAGACACTGTCTACCATATGAATGCTCGTTTATTTCTTTGAAGTGATATTATATATATATATATATATATATATATATATATATATATATATATATATATATATAAGGACCTACCCTTCCTACTCATTGAAGTTACTTTTTCTTCTACAAGATACAATATGAAAAAAAAATGTTTCCCGACCTATGCAAGTATTGCACCAGCCCACTTTTTGTTTTAGGATTGTAGTACATGGAAATTTGTATTTCATATATTTAGTTAAATGTAATAAAAAAGGAACTTTTATTCAATGAATTGAGCTTAGACTTCAACACAAACATCGACGTGCGGCAACTTTAAAAATAATACATTTTCCGAAGTAGTGCCACCTATTTTCTTATTTTTGATGGCTGATTTCTGAAACGTTGGAAAACAATGATATTTTATTGTCCATTGTGCTCTCTCTCTCTCTCTCTCTCTCTCTCTCTCTCTCTCTCTTACAAACACATAAATGTACACTTTTAATACAAGACACTATATAAGGACATCACCTAGTAACTTGTTGCCTTTGCACGGATTTATACAGGGGGTGAGTTTAGATTTTTTCACCCTATAAAACGTAACTTTTCCCCCAAATGAACACAGCGCACTGACGCATGACAATCGTGTTTCTTTATTCGTCTTAGGTATTATGGCATATTTTCTTCTTTTAATTACATTGTAAGTGATTACAAATAATTAGACAGGAGAAACTATCATTTAGAAAGTGATTAAAACACTATCCGTTCTATTATACACATACACTTAATTGTTCCGATTTTAAATTATATATAGCTGCAATAACTGGTCCCGGGAAAACTACCGAGATACGGGAAGTTAGGGCGAGTTACGTTCGTTCGTAAGATGTCGGTATTTCTCTATTACAACGTGACTCTTACACTGAAATCTGGAATGCTCTGCCGGGAATTACTCAGAAGCTATTGTTACATGTATGCTTACCTTTTTGCAAAGAATTTTTGGATATTCACACAAAAGGGTTGAACTAGTGGGAAACACAAAGGGTACCTAAGGGGTTAAACTATTGATTGCTAAGCTATTGATTGATAACTATTGTTGACTGATTAATATTTCCTGAAATTATTATAAAGCCAATTTACAGATATAAAAAAGGGACGTGTATGAAAACGCATTATTTTACTTAGAAATGAACTATTTATAATCTTAAGTTTTAGAGATGCATGGTCAAAATGTGAAGTCAAATTTAAAGGTTTAAAAGGAAAGGTTTAAGAGCTTGCAATTCTTTTATATGTAAAGATTACTGTGAATTTTTTTTTCATTTAGATAAGTACTTCCACATACATGTTGCATACTACATGTATTTTTTTAAGATCTTGTTTGAAGAAGAATAAAATTAATCTTTGCCTCTCTAAGCTTTGCAGAGTATAATGTTGTTACATTTTGCACATCATGATCATCTAATACACACCAAAAAAGACAGATAAAATATACACATATGCCTCTGATAGATTTGCATATTTTGAGCAAATGCGTTGGAACAGAAAAATCAGACCTGTATCTCAAGATATTTTTGTAAAGTTATTTCTTTTAAATAGTGTGAACAATAATTCAATCATTGCTTTTCAATTTAGTCTTCTCAGAACTTTAGTAAGAATAAAAAAGTAAAATATTCCAGTGAAAGAGTTGACATTATTTTTTTGTTCCTTTAATCAGACTTATTTCCTTTGGCATAACGGTATTTTTTCATTATTACAAAATATTTTATAATCTTTTTTATTAAATATATAAAGGGGGAGAAAATAAATAAAAATACATGAATAGATTTATAGATCTATAGAGTCGCCCGCGTGGCGCAGTGGTTAGAGCGTCTACTCCAGAGTCGCGGAGTAAGGAGTTGATCCTTACGTCGCGGGTCCGAACCCACTGCGGGACGTGGAGACCAGTCCTTCGGATGAGACTGTTTAAACCGAGGTTCCGTGTCGCAGTAGGTGTTGGCACGAAAAAGACCCCTCACTGCTCAAATGGCCCTAATTGCCGAGCATAGGTTAAAATTTGCAGCTCTCCACCGGCAAGTGGTGGCGTCTCCATATGAGTGAAAAATTATCGAGAGGTACGTTACACAACATACAAACAAACACACATTTATAGACAAGTTAATAACGTAATGGAAGATCAGTTAAGGCTTTTGACACTTTTTACCATAATTAAAGCAAAATTTCAAAACAAGGGAAACATAATTAGGTTTCTATCAGAAAGCTAAATAAAGAAGCGTTTCGGAATATTATACTAATACTTGTACTAAAAAAGGAAGTTTGAATTCACCAATAAGAGGGCAGAAGAGGGCAGATTTTACAAACCAGACAAAATCTGGACTCCTACACAAAACCATGTTATTACAAGTTGGCAAATTTAAAACGGAGCAAATTCAGCCAGAAGAGCATTATCTCTTTAACACAACTGTGTTCTGGGGCTATTTTTTGGCAAGCGTGAACGGGCAAAAAATCCTAATTACAGTAAAAAACGCTAAATATTAGAATGATGTCAATTTCAAACTGTATTCAAAAATTATTATAACACAGAGACGTGTTAAGCATAGGAAATATTCTATAAATACTGTGGTTTCATCATTATTCCTAGGCTTCAATGTTCGTGGAAAAAGAAAAAATACTCAGATGTGAGGATACCTTAATTGAGTAGAATGGACCTACCAATGAACATACCTTTAAGTTTGAGAATCAACTCAACATATACAAAAACTGATATTCAAGTTATAATGATGACACCACAGTTTACCGTTTCTCGGAGGGGTATGGATGTCCAATCACTCCATTTACCGCAAATATTTAAATGAATTCAAACCTGCATTATATCTCTATACATGTATATATTTCAACTTTTTCACATATTTTTAACATAACTATAAGATTTAAACAGAATAAAAGGGGCAACTACTTACATAATTGGGCGAAGTTTTAGTGTGTGTTCTTCTGTCTATTGTGAATGAATTCATTCCTTTTTGTCAGTCAACCATAGTCGATAGTTGAAGTTATTCGATAATTATACGGCAATTTAAAAGCTGATAGATTGTCTGATTTTCAACATAGAACACTTTGCCACTGGACTTGGATTAATAGATTAAATCAAAATACCCGTTCGATATTTTTTTTATCGTTAAAGGCGAATTTTATGAGATAATATATCTAATCAGCGAATTTCATTAGATGATATATTTTTGATATAACTAAAGCTGAATAGAAAAAAATTATGTTGCATACATTTTCTAGCTGTCATAAAAATACAATAAAAAATCACAAAATGCCATAGTCGTACATTATTACCACGTATTTAACTGTCATACAATAATAACATGAAAATTATTTTAGTGTTAAATTCATAATTCATAGTTTTCTTCTTCTTTTTCATTTAATTATTCTTCATTATTAACATTACCCTAAGCATGCTAAGAAATGCATTTATCTTTTTTTATTTTTTTCGGGCTTATCCTGAAGATTATTTACCATGCTTTTGTATATGAGTAATGCTACAAATATTTTGTATCATGAAAATAATTAAACGGGTTGTTTTTCTTTGTAATTCGTTGATCCTTTTGCATACTATCCTATCCTATCCTTGTGAGCATCATATGTTAAGAATAAAGTTGTGGATACGTACTGAAAAAGAATGCATAGATAAATAAACCCCTTAACTTAAAGCACCAACTCAAAGAACCTTAAACTACAATCAATATTTATTGTTACTGGTTAAGATTATTGCATCTTCATGAATGTAATGACTGAAGTACATGTATATTGTAATGTAATAAATACTGAAGAACATGTATATTGCAATGTAATAAATACTGAAGTAAATGAATATTGCGCTGTATACACACCCTGACGATGTAGGAGCAGCTGATTGGACTGTGGTAATGGTGGGTGGAGCACGTGTCCTGCAGAAACATCATAAACGAGAATATAAAACATTTAAAAATAAAGTAAAAGATGGTTACTATGACCTAATTTTAGGTCAACACATCTAAGCCTAAAATTTATTGATTGACAAGCGTCTTCATGCAGAGAAGATACTTCTAATTAAGTAAATAGAATTTCTAATGAAAAGTAAAATTCAATATGCAGGTAACTATGACCTTTTAATGGCTCACATACTCGAGGCTCTATATGCATAAATTCCAACGGTTTGATGACTCCACACTGCGTAATATATAATAAACGTTTGATAATATGATTTAGAGATCAGCGGCCATGGATTTAGAAAGTATGTTACAATGACATATTTTATGATAAACATATATCGAGGCTCAAAGGCACATGAACTGATCAAATTTGATCAAGAGGTCCTTGGAATATGTGCACATCCCAAAAAGTTAAGGAACATCACACATATTAAAGATGTACATAGCAATGGTCATTTGTGCCATCGTGGCAGAGGAGCTTAAATTGATGGCATAAATTTCCCTGTATAAGTCAGACCCTACAAAAACCTTTCTCCACTATGTTGTCTTCTAAATTTTATGCATCTTAGCATACTACTATTAAAAATGTCCAAAAGAACTTTGTAAGCGAGTCGAAACCTTGGAATGATTATAACGCTAATAAAGATGTATTATGAGAAGACAGAACATAATGTAATCTATGATAGGCATAGATGAAAACACATTCTGGCTGAATCTAATATAAAGTCACTTAGAAAATTAAATTCCTACTAACTGCTTATGTAGTGCAGATTCAAATTTGGATTAGGTAACACTTGTCACTGCTTAAATATCAATTATATAACATGAACAATGAACGGCGATCTTGTTAAAAAGTCTATTTAAAAAGTACAAACTAAGAGAGGAGCCAAAATGGACATCTGCATATAGAGCTGGTATCAGGTGCCATGGAGTAGTAAGTAACCTCTGTCGACCAATCACATTCGTCCTGTGCTCCTTGTAATGATCGGGTAAATGGAAAATAAGTAGACAACTACATGTACTTATGAAATACGAAAATAATGGCTTAACATTTATTTTTATGAAAGACAATAGTCAAAATTCGACCTAACGACAGATTGTATTTGCAAACATTGTCATTGTATCGAACAGAGAATTTGCAAAATGATGACTTTAAAGGAGAGGTTGATATTCTTAAATCACCAACTTCTTTGGCGGTAGCAAGCTTCGTTTTAGAAATTGAAATTACATAGAACATACTCTTACGTTTCAAAGCAATTGGAAGACAAAAATTCCGTATGCAGGTGATAAAGGTATATTACGATATTTAAAAAAAGAAAATTGACGATAAAAAAGATGCAGTCTTCGCGTTTATCATAAAGTTTAGTTGTTAGATTGCCATCATTGTCTTTCGCTGGTTAAATATCCGACGTTACTGAATATGTAATGTCTTTCATTTCGAGGTATCGTATACTACAGTTTCTAAAATGAACATAAGAATGAAAATCAATATTTTTAATTGACGAAACGTCTTCGATATACCTTAATGTCAAAACAAGAGGCGTTAACTTCTCAAGTAGGAGTTTCTGAATAAATTCTGCTTCATAGGAAAAGAAATCAGGTCTGCTGATATTGAAGCACAATTAGTACCAATGGAAATTTCATCAGATTGTTATGTTATATGTGAAGACCAGGTATCCAGAAACTACATAGATATTGTCGGTAAGAAACTCTGAGTGCCTGTAGGTAAAATCAGAATGCTATTTAATAAATTAAGTTTGCAGATAACTAATGACAATGTATGCGAATTCCATTTTTATTAAAGAAAGAATTATTGTGTCTGATGGCAGAAAAACCTGTTCTTTAATTTATATTGAAGAATGATAGTGTAAAGAATTGAAAAGTAGAACGTTTGGATGCTATTGATTTTTTTTTAAGTTTTTTGATTTCTAATTTTCTTAAAGTTTTCCTAAAGACTTTAAACTCCTCACCTGGATAATACCATTTCTCTGATATGCCCTTGAACAGTACTATTGAATTTTTCCGTCACTACTGTTAATATTTATGTGAAGAGTAAAGGATACATGTACAGTGCTACCTATGAAAAAATTAAAAAATTTTCACTTACTTTTTTATCTTTAAACTTATCTGAAGTCTGAAAAGTATATAAGGTGCACAGTATCTGACAAATAATGGTTAAGGCCCTCGGTTTCTCCTTCGGAACCTTGGGACTTTCACAATTTATCTTTAAACAGTCAGTAGATAGCCAGCTTCGGTATAAATTCACCGAAACTTTACTCGAATTGAAGATTGTAAGGTTTCAATCTTTAAATCAGAGATATTTTTGACAATTCTTTTCCGGATCCAATGTGTTCTTTTTCCAAATAGTCTACTCGGAATTTCAAAACCTGTGATATTTTGATAACAAGTACTTCGGTTTAAAGCAACCTTACTGTACAAAGTTTTTATACTAAAATCGGTGAAAATTTGACTTGTAAAACTTCAAGTTTTGTCTATGTTATTAAATGAACTCTATGCAAACTGATTTAAATTTGGGAAACAAAAGGTTTACTCGATAAGAGAATTCGAGGCATATCTTTGAAATAATTAATGGGACTATCAACATCTTTATAATTATTTCAATTCCCCTGACCACTATATTCTTAAAGTAGAATTTATGGAGAAAAAATATATCATCCGACTAATAGTCCTACTTTACGTAGACAAAAAGAATACTGGATCAGGAAACTAGGCATGAACTTTCCGTATTGTTGCAACGACCACATATATAATGTAGGGAATCCCACAGTGCGCGAATGTGAATGTGATGCGTCTTTTCAAATACACATAGACGTAGGCGTAGTCATAGATATCGATCTTACAATTGACCATTTATAATGTCTCGTTTGATTCACTGTTGCCTTACGAAAAAATCAATTAGGCCTTCATCTTATTCCCACTAAACTCTACTCGGTTCCCTTGAAACTTTTGAATGAACTATTTGCAGAAGCTAAAGCAAGTCCATACTTAGATTCTTAAACTGCAGAATACAAGCCCAGCACATGCTTTTTAAGCCACCACGTGTGTCGAAAGATAATTCTGATTCAACCCGTCGGTTTCTTAATCCTAAATTTTCGAACAAAGAAATAGGTGCTGTGAACATTAGTAACAATCCAAATCATAAAAAAGTTAGGTCTTGCATTTCACCATATTCACCTTGAAGTCTACACCCTGCATTTTCTACAGATATTCACAAACTGTTGCTTCTGAACTTTTCAATTATAAACAAACCTTAGAGTGCCTAGATATTGAACATCTAAAACAAAATTCTCTTAAGTGTTCTTGCTCTCCTTCTTCTTTCAACTACAGTCCCACTGGACACGTCATTACTGGTGATGTCAATATAGTTGAAAATGAAGACCTAAAAGCAATCATCATAGGAGGTCCTAAATACAGGGAACCCCGATCATTCTGTTGGCAACAAAACTTCATTTTTATTTTGAATTCTGTCAAAAAATTCATGTCAGTCGTTTGTGCTAAGCATGAACAGGAAGATCTGAACTTTTTCTCAGAATAGGTCAAGTGTTTTAGAAATATATTGAAGAATCGTACAAGAAATTTAAAAGGCAATATGCGAGCCTCTTATCCTTCTGTTTTCACTATAAAGGAGGAGACAAAAGATTTAGAAAGACTACATGAACTATGCGTAATGGTTCCAGTCGACAAGGCTAGTAACAACATCGTCTTTGTTTACAAAGTTCATTATTAAAACTGTATTGGAGAAGAACTAGGCTTTACTTCTACGACAGGAAATCCAACTTATACTCGCAATTCACTTTTTGAAGATAAAACTCTTCAAAAGCACATTTCAGTGTTTAATACGTTTAATATTCCGGTCAACCAAGGTGAGTTTGATCTACCCTACCTATAATGGATTTCTTAACTTCATGAAAATCCTTAAAACAGAGATACATTGCAGGGTCCAGCAAATGCTCTACTAAGCTCCTATCCTTACTCCTTACAAAATATTAACTGTTGTATAGGAGAAACTTCAGATGTGTTGTGCTACAGCATATTCTAGAAGTGGTGTAAATCACATGTAGATTCTCAAAAACTTTTAAAACGTTTAGAAAATTTAATATCGCCATTTTTTTTTCAAGTGAGTAACATCAGAACTTACGACTTTTCTACACTTTATATACAATCACTCCTCACGAAAAATTAAAAACTAGGCTTTCTGATATCATTAGACAACTGCTTTTTCGGGAAAAAAAAAACGGAGGTCTGGAATTTTCGTATTTTGTGATTGGTCATCATCGGAATTCCTCTGTTAAAAAAACCACTCTGATTTTACACACAAGTATTCTGAAGTTGATATTAAAAGGATGCTGGAGTTCCCCTTTGACAGCATTTATGTAGAACAGCTCATCCAACTAACAGATGGAAATAATTGTGCTTCTTTATTAGTCGACCGTTTTCATCATCCCATGAAGCAGAGTTTATTCAATAAATTCTACATGAGAAAAACACTAACTGTTCCCTTCATCTTGACAATTACATATATCGATGGCCTATCTTCAATTAACAATATTTACTTGAGTTTCTGATCGACAATATCTATGTGGTTTTTGGAGATCAGGTCTTCCAACAATCTAATGGAATTCCCATGGGTACCTATTGCGCTATTAGCAGACCTTTTTCTGTATTCATATGAAGCAGAATTTGTCCAAAATCTTGTACGTGAAAAGAAGAAAACACTTGCTGTGGTCTTCAACTCGACATTTAGATAAATCGACGACGTATTGTCAATTAACAATGGCTATTTCCATTCTTCTGTCGATTCGATATATCCTTGTGAGCTTGAGATAAAAGATACCACTGAGTCTGACACATCTGTTTCATATTTGGATATTTTACTTGAAAAAGACGTTAATGGTAATCTAACAACCAAGCTTTATGATAAACGTGATGACTTTAACTTTTCAATCGTCAACTTCCCTAACTTATGCAGCAATATACCTTCATCACCTGCATACGGGGTATATATCTCTCAGTTGATTCGATACGCAAGAGCATGCTCTACGTATGTACAATTTCTAAAACGAGGTAAATTATTGACAAATAAGTTGATGAAACAAGAATTTCAGCTGTCTCGTTTAAAGTCATCATTTCGTAAGTTCTATGGTCGATACAATGACCTTGTCAGCAAATACAATTTATCATTGAGTCAAATGCTGACTGACGTTTTTCATACAAATTGTAAGGCCATTATTTACACACTGAATTGTCGACGGATTTTTCCGTTATTTCCCGATCATGACAAGGAGCACACGGCGGGTGTGACCGGTCGGCAGGGGATGCTCACTCCTCCATGGCACCTGATCCCACCTCTGATGTTTGGAGGTCCGTGTTTGCTCTGCTCCTATTTTGTATTGTTTGATGGACTTTTGAGCCTGAATACTGTTCCTTATCTTCATATATTTCATTACTTCCATTCAAATGTCGACACGATGTATCCAAGTAAACTTATATTAGAAAAACCACAGTGTCTTCCACATCTGTTTCATATTTGGACGTTTAACAGACTATAAACGATCAGTTTGTTTTTGTTCTTTATTATCCCTCTCGCAAATTTAACGCTCAAATGGAGACTTCATCTCTTGCCAGTTGAGTGCTGCAAATTTAGGCTTATTCCCTGCACTTAATGCCACTGAGCAGTGAGGGATGTTTTACGTGCCAGCAACTACTGCAACACGAGACCTTGGTTTATATAGGCTCATCCGAAGGACCGGTCTCCACGTCTTGCGATAGGATTCGAACCCTCGACGTAAGGATCAACTCCTTACACCGCGACTCTAGAGAAAAAGCTCTAACCACTCCGTCAGGCGGGCGACCTATCAACGATAAGAGCCAACTAGCAACTAAATTAAACGTCAAATGTAGTAATATCTTTAAGCACTATCACCTGCATATGGTGTTTACATTTCCCAACTCATTCCATACTCAAGAGCGTACTGTGTGTACAATCAATTTTAAGGGGATGCAGGATACAAGTCACATGACACAATTACATACGCTATAAATCCTATTTAAAATATGCTAAAACATTATAAAAATCACCAGCAGCTGTGTAGTTTTTATACAAATTGTTGTGCTTTACCATTTTATATGATATATTTCAAAGTTGTGAAATTCATTTCCATATTTAAAAGTCTTCAAAGTCAGTGACGTCAAACATAATCTGTTTGTGCAGCACGACGAAGTACTCTTGATTTCATGGTCATTTATATATGAAACAGGTAATTATCAACCTATTTTAAGCTTAAGGTAATAAGTTAAAGAGGAAACGCAATCACAAACTTCGCATGAATTTCAACAGATTTCTTTGTACTTATATCTTATATCGCTCTGAAAGGCTATCCTGTGACGACATAGTTGTTTTCCCCTACTCAGAAAATATAAACATATGGCGTTTTAATCACGGCTACGTCTTGTTTAACGATTATGTGTGCAAGATTGTGTTAAGTTTTGCTTTTCGATATTTATACAGCTAATGTTTTTTAAAAAAAAAAAAAGGACTTCAGCTTAGACCTAAATTTCAAAATATTTACTGACAGAGTTTTTTTTTTTAGCAATTGAGATTTTTGTCGTTAAAGTCGTCTCGAAAATTGCGTAATTTATTCAGTCCATATGAAGTGTGGAATGAAAATTTTGCTTACAGAATGTTAAACTCATTTCGTATTGTAAAAATTATACTGTCCGCATACACATTTTTTATTACATTGTATGCTTAAATATTCCCGCTATGAACTTGTTAATTGGCCAATAAACATGAAGAATAAAAATTTCATACAGACACTGTACAGAGGAATACTTCTTAATCTTTTGTTTTTATACTGATTTGACTACGGAATGTTCCGTTTATCTGGTCAATACGTAGGGTTCACTCATAGCCATCTGATCTAACTTTGGTTTGACCTGGCTAAAGTTGGTGTACTTCAAATTTTTATATAGCCTATATAGACATAAACCTCATATGGAAGTAAATCAATAAGAAATCATTCTTACCTAATGTTTTCATTTAACATGTTTTTGTATTAAACTTTAAATTTCTACGTGAGTAAAAAAAAAGTATCAGCATCATTTCCCAATCAAGTGGAATACTAAATGCCAAGAAACTGTATACATTTCTGACAATTCTTCATAGGGATATGAAATGATGTTGACTTGAAAGAAAACTTACGTTCCATAAAAATCTGCATAACATATGGGATCTAAATTAAGAAAAACATAAGTTTATTCATATCAATGAAATTAAGAATACATTTACTTTAACTTACAAAAACAAAACTAACATTTGAAATGAAAATGAGAGATGCTTTTCTTTTTAAAAAATATTTATGTCAAACAAATCGTTCAAAAACGACCTGAGTTTGTAAGTAAATACATGTAAAACATATAAATTCAAGACAATGGTAATAAAAAAATCCTGGTTAGGATTCACGGATCGCGGTGGTCACGGATTAAACATTCGATGCCACGTAATTAAAATATCGTGGATAGAAATATAAATCCGTAGCTCATGATCAGAAATCGAATTTCAGTTCACGACTGAAATTAGTTCACATTTTGAAGACAATGTATGTTGTTTATAAATTATAGAAAGGTCTCTTTTTCGCTAACTCTACATGCAGATTACAGGGGCTTCATTTTATAGTAAACATTTGTTTTTTGCAATTTGATGCATACACCAGGTATTCTTAAAGTTTATTAATAAATCATTACCGCAATAAATTGCTCATTACTGACAGGTTTTTTTTTCTTTTTTTTATAATTTTACTTATACTTTTATTTACATTATTTTTTTACTCTATATTGAAAAGTGCTTTACGTATATTTTTTACCCCCCGATGGATGCACAAGGAAAATTTACTTTATTGTAAGTAAGACAGACTGTTTACTAAAATAAGCCCTTTTTAGGGCTACCCACATTTTTAGAAAAGATACCTCAATTACAGTCGTTGACGAAACGTCTGCATGTTTGCCTCTGTCCCCCCCCCCCCTTTATACAGTGCAGGAAACTAATTTTGTTACAGCATCAATGCTGATTCGAATGCTTCCTTTGCTTGCTGATTTGAATGCTTCCTTTGCTTGCCGATTTAATGCTAGTAATCCTTATCCTGATGCTGTTTTATAATTAGGTCAATGCTACCGGAAATAGCATCATGCTACCGGAAGTAGATAATGAATTTCAGCATTGCCGTTTAAAGCAATAAAAGTGCCTTTTACAATTATTTGATCATAATATCTCACTATGTATCAATAATGTGAATACTTGAACCAATATTCTTTCTTTCTTTTTTAATTTTTTACTGAATTATAACTCATTGATTTTCTGATGCTAGTAGGATAATGCTGATTTTATGTAGGTCAATGCTGGTTTTATCCTTTGCTTGCTGATGCTGATCTTGGTAATGCTGTTTTTTAAATGCTGATCCTGATGCTAGCTCGATCCTGATGCTACTAATGCTTATGCTGATGCTGGTTTATGTAACAAAATTAGTACCCTGCACTGTAATTTACAATTATAAATTCCTAGAGTTTAATTGTAATATGTTCTTAGGATACAAAGTTATAAAGTTTGAGATTTGCATTGATTGTTTACTAGCTGAAGCATCTTCATAATGATTTCTATTTATTCCATACAAAAATGCTTTGTTCACAGTGATTGATATTGTTTTGCCTTTTTCAATAAATTGCATTTATATTCTGATAAGAAAACATCTATATCAACAAGAATCCTCTTATACATAGGTATTTCAAGAATTCTTAAAATTTTGATACGACCAAATTCAAGCAAAATGTATGGAGTAAAACACATTTTGGGTTGCAATATGCCTATTTGTAAGGTTGTTTAACGTCCCTTTGAGAATTTTTCACTCGTACGTATTGAGAGGTCACCACACCTACGGTGGTGGCTTCGAATTTAGAACGATGCTCGGTACTGAGGGCCATTGAGCATTTAAGTATCTTTTTAGTGCAAGCAACTACTGCGACTCGAGACCTCGGTTTATACGGTCTTATCCGAAGGACAGGAATCTACATCGCACAGTGGATTCTACTGTTAAGATTAGAGTTTAAAGACTCTACTTCGCTCGATATGTTTCATTTGTACCAAAATGCTCAAAACATGTCAAATACAGTTTCATGCCGTTATATTTTTTTTTCATTATTTCACTGAATTCAGCTTTCTTAAAGTTTTGCAATTACTATGAACCATTGGTCATGTAAATCAACCAATAAATATGCAAATTTTGTGGATTTAGAATAAATGTAAAAGTACCACTTAAAACAAAAGACGGAAGACAGAGTCCCCTCCCTGCCCATTGTTATACTATCTCTAATACCGTTTCTAGCAAATGAATGTTTGTTTAATTATGTTCTCCAAACGAAGTTTGGGAACATATTGTTTTTACTCTGTTTCTTATTATTATTATTATTAGGTCTTCCGTTTTCAACGGAAGACCTATAGTGATTCTACTGTTTCTTATTATTATTATTATTTTTCATTTTTATTTTTTTGACCTTTTCAAATCGCGATATCTCAAAAACTACTCATTCGTTTTCAGCCAAATTTTCAGGAATGATGTGTTATCTCATGCCATTTTGAAATATTGAAAAAGTTTGGAAAAAGTTACTTCCGGTCAGGAATTATTACGATTTTTCATTTTTTCCACTAAAAATCTAGTCCGTGAATGTTCTCAGAAACTGTTAAAGGTAGGACTCTGAAACTTTCAGGTATGATAGAATTTGGTTTGTAGATGTGTGATGGAAACATTTCGTGTGTCGTCGTCACTTCCGGTCGTCACAGGAAGTGATTTAAAATGGGTAATTTTTTGAACTTTTTTGTTTTTCATTATTTTTTTATGATGTTGATATGCTAAATAAAGAGTCTTACAAGAATGCTAAATACGCAATTTGTTTAAAAATTGATTAATCAATACTGTAAATATTTATCATTTTTCAATTTTAAGCGATGATGTTTGTTAGCGTAATGGTTAGTATATTGAATTTTCACGTGGGCGATCCGAATTCAATCTAAAGAATGTCCGAATTTTTTTTCTCACTTTTTGGGGCTCAAATATAAGATTTTATCTTTAAGGGGGGAGGGCGCTATGTCGTTCGACGTCAGAGCAGCGGTGTTAGACGGCACAATATCAGCGTGTCTTTTTACTCCCTTATAAAGAGTTTGCAGTTGAATTTTGCACTAATCAATGTGCATAGATGCAATTGTGATACGACAAAACGAGGACCACATGTTGGTACAAATGTATATGTAGCTAGATAATTATGCAATTGTGTCATAAATTGGAGATTTGCCGAATTGTATTTTGAAAGTAGAATTTGTTACTTTCTCATGTTGATTGAATAACATATAGTAATTTCAAATGAGAGAAAAATAAACTTCAATGATATTTTTCTTTGATTTTAATAGGATAATATTCCTTTATAGATGCAAGTTACTGAACATAATAGGTATCAGATTCCTTGAGCGTCATATGGCGAGACGTGTATTGTTGCGAAACATTCCAGTCTTTTCATTAATGTGTTACTAATCGGAATAATTCACTTTGGGGGTAAAGAGGAATATAACATGCGTAAGAAAACTTATCGCTGCCTTTATGTTACTTGCCCGTATACGATATGTTATATGTGCAGTGTGATAAATATACATTCTTAGACTCGAAAATCAGGCTATAGCAACATATTTTTTTTCTTTTGAATTTCATTGAAGCTATCACGTACACTTATTTAATTGAAGACACATTCCAAAGAAAAAGCGCGAAGATTTACTCGTGACGTTTGGCGCGAAATAATGTATTGTGACCCGCCTTTCACAAATGGTCTGATGCAGTAGTGTAGAAGTACAGAAAAAGATTACACGGATATGTCTGTATTTGGAATTGCATAGAATAGAAAGTTGAATGCATAAAGAATAAAGGAAGTAAACACAATAGTTTTTTTATAGTTTTTATCAGTAACAGATTATTTTCTCTGCTATCAGTCATTGTTAAAACTCAAGTAACAGATCCGATGTAAATCTACTAGCACTTGCACAAAATTTAGCTGGCTAGTTTTCATCCTATAATTCCGCACTATAAGAAAAAAAAAATAACCTGCCCGACACTCGTTACTTGAGGGAATGAGTGCAAGGTAAACATCGATGATGGCTGGTACATTGCGCTAGTGTAGTGGTTTCAATATTAAAGAACAGGGTTCGCTTAGGGCCTTTTTTGGCCCTGTGAATTTCAGAAAAACTGAAACTGCTTGGTTTTAGTTGACAATGCATTAAATATTAATTAGACCTTTGATGACTGCGTATCTATAAAAAATGACATAGTTTTCTGGCTAGCCTATGCATTATGACGTCATGAAATGTGTCATTTTCCTCGTATCCTGAAAATTTCTACAAAACAGCCAATTTTTAAAGCTATTTTTCGATATTTAATATAGGACGTAACCTCTGATCTTAAATATGCAACTATTAAATGATAGAACTATTTCTGAGGATTACAAAACCTGTTTTATTTTTTAGAATCAGAGGATGCGCTCATATTATTTCTCTTCTTTTTTTAACTAAAACTTGCATCACTTTATTGCATCTCTTTCGCTGTTTTGAAATATGTTAGATTCCACCGGAAAAAAAAGTCAACTTCCGGTCTATTGCTCGGCAACAGTAAACGACTGAAGTCTAAAACTTTCAAGACTGATAGTCAGTCATCAGTTTATTTGAATCGTGACAAAATCCTTGTATCGCCCGTTACTTCCGGTCGTGACAGGAAGTGATGCAAAAAAGGAATGGTTGATGGTTAGCACGTTGGATTTTCAGGCTGACGACCAGGGTTAAATCTCCAGAGTGTCTGAATTTCTGTTATCACTTTTTCAGCTTGAGTTTTCTTTTTTTTCAGAATCGGACGGAAGACCTCTCATTGCTCGCAATGAGTTTCTAGTTAAGGTCTTCCGTTTCAGACGGAAGACCTTATAGTGATTCTACTGTTTATTAGGGTCTTCCGAGCTTCCTTCGGAAGACCCTTCTGTTATTCTACTGTTTCTTATTATTATTTTTTTTTTTCCCGCCGATTTTCAGCAGGCGATTTCTCGGAGACCTTTTGTCCGATTGCTATGAAACTTTTACAGTAGATACAATGTATTATTGCCTAAAAACGGTTTTTTCAATTTTTTTATATATACCTCCGTTCATGAGTTATTGCCC